GGCAGATGTGAGTGGGGAGGCAGATGTGGTTGTCGGTGCCCCGCGGGTGTTGTGGGAACAGGCGCACACACCCACTGGACCGCAGTGGCAGCGGGTCAGTGGCTGAATGAGCTGGGTAACCGGCGCCCTGGGCACCCCATCCTGGACGTCAAAGCCCGGAGCACAAGGCCGGTGGGGTCAGGCTTTGTAAATACGGAGGCTGGTCCCCCTGGGGATGTGCTCTTTGGCTAAACAGTTGGTCTGGCTAGAGCCCTGCTCGAAGCGGGCAATTTTCGCTGGGGTTCTCCGCTGGCACTGAGGGACTCACTAGCTCCTTGAGGGCGGTGAATTAGCGCCCTGCCTCGCCCTCAGGCATTGGGAACCCCCGGGGAGTCCTGAAGTCGGCTGGCACCTGCCGGCAGCTGTGGGCACCTCGTTCCGAACCGGTCCTGCACTTATGGAAAATCAGTCTTGGCTAGCTGAAGCATCCGATTCCTCCAGCATCTCCCGGCTACGGCAGGCGGGGCGACTGTGTGTACAGGACGATTGGAGTTCTGGATGCGAAAGGGAGGCAGGCAGCTCCGTCCTATCCCAAAAGCGACACGATCTTCCTACCATGGGCTCCTCTGGGAGGAGAGCCTGGAAGTTGTCGGGGCCCAGCCCTTGGTTGTAAAATCTTGGCTCTCCAGCACTTGTCCTGGAGGGCCCAGGAGGCAAAACTCCCCACACCCTTCCAGGTGGGCAGCCCCTTGAAGCCACGATGTGGGTTAGAGAATGATAGGTGGGGTCCCAGCCGACCCCAGGGGAAGCGGGGAGCCCTCCATTTTCTGCCCACATTTGTTTCCTCCAGTTTTGCAACCTGTCCTAGGGGCACCGAGAGCAGGCAGGCCTGGAGAGGAAGACAGACCTGGACAGGAATATTTTCTGGCTGAGAAAGGCAGTGAGAGGGCCTGTGCAGGTGGTGGTGGGAGCTCAGAAGGAGCAGCGAGGGCCTGAGGTTGGGAGGCTTCCTGGAGGAGGCACTAGGAAGCGGCTCCCTAGGCCCCCGATGGGTGTTTGTTGAATGAATGCTTGATGGATTTTGAAGTCTGAGTGCATTGAGAGAGGGGTGTAGAAAGGATCCTGCTGCTTTCACTGCACTAGGCACAGCGTGTGCAAAGGCCCTGTGTGTGGAAAAGCCAGACAGGTTATAAAGGCTAAAAATCTCCATGGGTTTCAGTTTATATAGTCAAAGTTGGAGGGGAGTGATTTAGAGAAGAGAACTGAGATATTCCTCCTTCCCTCTGAGGAGAGTGGGTTGCCTCCTTGGGGGTGGGGAATCCCTCTCTGCTGGGCTCCATCTTCCAATCTCAGGGGGATCTCCGGGGCAAACCTGGGCTGATGTAAACAGTCACCTCCCCTCGGCTCCTCTTGGCTCTGGGGAAGGAAAGGGAGATGGCAAGGGTGTGGGCTTCCAAATGAAGATCCAAGCAGGGCCAGGCCTAGGGTGAGGTACTCACTCTGAGGCAAGATTTAGGTACATCATATATTTTTATGCAATATTTTAAAATAAAAATAATGCCAAAAATCCATGATAAACAAAATATCAAACTTTTACTACGTAAAAACAGAATCGGACCCTGCACTTGCACAACCCTGCTTCATTTGCCTCCCAGACAGGCCACTGTCTGCCCCAAAGAGAGGCTGAAGAACCAGTGTCCATGCAGAGAGTTTGGATGGTATGTGAGGGCAGTGTAGAGCATGGGAGTGAAGGGTAGGAGCTATATTTAAAAGAACCCCTCTGGCCCTAGCCCGTTTGGCTCAGTGGATAAAGCATCGACCTGTGGACTGAAGGGTCCCAGGTTCGATTCCAGTCAAGGGCTCATGCCTAGGTTGTGGGCTCGATCCCCAGTGTGGGGTGTGCAAAAGGCAGCTGATCAATGATTCTCTCTCATCATTGATGTTTCTATCTCTCCCTCTCCCTTCCTCTCTGAAATCAATAAAAATATGTAAAGTAAATAAATAAAAGAACCCCTCTGGCAGTTGGTGAGACGGTAAACTTAACCAGCAGGCTCCACTGGGGGAGATGAGGAAAGGCAGGTGGGCTGGGAGGAGGGTCACTACCTCTCCTGTCTGCCTTCCTCCTGCTCTCCCTCCCCCTCAGGCTTTGGGCAGTGATACTCTAAGTGTGGTCTAAGGAACCACTGTGTCAGAATCCCTTGGGGGTACTTGTTAAAGAATGCAGACTTCTGGCATACTGAATGAGAATCCCTGGAACTTGCATTTTTTACCCATTTATTGAAATAAAGCTTACATACCTAAAATTCATCCATTGTTAGACTATATCAAGATGATTTTTTTAGTAAATTTCTATTTGCTTAGTCATAACTACATCCATTTTTTAAATCCTTACCTGAGGATATGTTTCATTGATTTTTTTTTTTTAGAGAAAGAGAGAGAGAGAGAGAGAGAGAGAGAGAGATCAATTAGTTACCTCCCATACGCACCCAACTGGGGATCAAACCCAAAACCTAGGTGTGGGCCCTGAGCCGGACTCCAATCCGCCACCTTTTGGTGTATGGATGACACTACAAACAACTGAGCCAACCAGCCAGGGCATACCCACATCCATTTTTAGACATTTCCATCACCCCCAAAATTCCTTTATTTGTGGTTAATCCCCATTCTCACCCCAAGCTTAAGGCAACCACTATCAGCTTTCTGTCTACAAATTTGCATGTTTTAGATATATTATATAAATGGAGTATATAAATATACAGACTTTTGCATCTAGCTTCTTTTACTTAGCCTAATATTTTGAGGTTCATTCACACTGTAGCATGTATAAGTACTTCTTTTTTCAAAATTGCTGAGCAAGTATTCGATTGTATGGATGCAACACATTTTGTTTATTCATTCATCAGTTGATAACTTGGTGTTTTCGCTTTTTGGCTATGATGAATAATGCTGCTATAGTCACTCACATACATGTCTTTGTGTGGATATACGTTTTCATTGCTTTTAGCTAAATTCCTAAAAGTGGAAATGCTGGATTTTATGGTAAATTTGTGTTTAAATTTTTGTTGTTGTTGTTGTTAAGCCTCACCTGAGGGTATTTTTCCATTGATTTTTAGGGAGAGTGGAAGAGAGAGGGAAAGACAGAGAGAAATATCAATGTGAGAGAAACACATCAATTGGTTGCCTCCCACATGAGTCCTGACTGAGGCTGAGGATCGAACCTGCAACCCAGGCACGTGCCCTTGACTGGAATCAAACCCTCAAAACTTTGGTGCACAGGCCGACACTCTAACCACTTACCCACACTGGCCAGGGCAGTTTGTGTTTAATTTTTTTAAAAATATATTTTATTGATTTTTTACAGAGAGGAAGGGAGAGGGATAGAGAGTTAGAAACATCGATGAGAGAGAAACATCTATCAGCTGTCTCCTGCACGCCCCCTACTGGGGGTGTGCCCGCAACCAAGGTACATGCCCTTGACTGGAATAGAACCCGGGACCCTTCAGTCCGCAGGCTGATGCTCTATCCACTGAGCCAAACCGGCTAGGGCTGTGTTTAATTTTTTAGGAAAATGCCAAGCTGTTTTCTAAAGTGGCTGTTCTATTTTACATTCCCACTAGCAATGTAAGGGTTCCAGTTGCTCCACATTCTCACCTACACTTGTTATTGTCTATTGTTTTTATTATAGCCATCCTAGTAGTATCTCAGTATAGTTTTAATTTTCATTTCCCCAGGGATTAATGACGTTGAGCACTTTTTCATGTTTAAAAATACAGAGATTTCTCATAGAAATCCAGAGTCCTGATCTCACCAGCAAAAACAAACAAACAAACAAACAAATCAGGATATCCGGTAATGTCGGTATGTCCAGCATGGTAAGAGCCCAGTGGCGGCTTTGCACAGGGCAGCGTCAGTCACCAGTCGCCCACATCTCGCTGACATAGGTTACCTATGGTGCTTCCCCTTTGAAGTCTAGAGCTGTGCTGTCTACTGTGGGAGCCGCTAGCCACATGGGGCTAGTGGGCACTTGAAATGTGGCTAGTCTGCATTAAGATAGGTCGTAAGTGTAAAATATGCATTGAATTTTGAAGACTAAGTATAAGAGAAGAGTGTTTAGTAGCCCAGTAGTAATTTTTAACATACTGATTGTGTTTCAATGATAATATGTTTGATATAGTGGGGTAAATAAAATACATTAACCTTGCAAGTTTCTTTTTGCTTTTTAAAATGGGGCTCTGAGAAACTGTAAATCTACATACATGGCTCACAGTATACTTCTGTTGGTCGGTGTGGGTCAAGAGGCTAAAGGGTAAGCCGGGGACCAGGCAAGAGGGGTAGGCATGGCCAGACCACAAAGGAGGGTGAAGCAGGGTATGATGATGGTTAGGATGTGAGCTCTGGAGTCCATGATCAGAGGCTGTGCTCCTGATTGCTGTGCCCAACTGAGTTTTTTCATTTTAAAATGGGGCTGGATAATGGCATCCACCCCCCAGAGCTGTTCATGGAAAGCACTGGGTATAGAGTCGGTACTTCCTGAAGGACAGGGGACATCATTTTGCCCAGCTATGGAGCTGGACTTTGTCTCTCAGGGAACTGACTGGACACTGACCAGTTTTAGGCTGGAGAGTGATGTGTGTTTAAGAAAGTTCCCTCGGCAGCAGGGCAGGGAGACCAGAGCAGGGATTGTGCTGAAATTCAGGCAGGAAGTGAGTGTCTGTGCATACATGGAGAAGGGGCAACATTCGGGGCACGAGGAGAAATGAAAACCTAGGACATGGTGACGGATGGGATGTGGTGGGAGAGGCATCACTGAGTGTGAAAGGCATCACTGAGGTTTCTGGCTGGGGGCAGGGGAAGGGGGAATGCACACCCAGAGAGGGAAAAGCTGGAGGGGCTCTGCCAGGCTCGGTCCTGGTCATCCTTGTCTGCCTCTGCATTCCCAAGGCCTGGCACAGCTCCTGGCACACAGACACTCAGCAGATACTTGCCGTATGGCTGGAGGGCTAAGAGCTGTCTTTGAGACCACAGTCCAGGGCTTGCTGCTGGTTCTAAGTCTACCAGCGGTGTGAGCTCAGGCACACTACTTCACCTCTGTGGGCTTCAATTTTCTCATCTGCAAAATGGGAATAATAAATGTAGCCGCCTTGTGAGTTCTGAGGATTCAGTGAGGTTGTTTGTGTAAGCTCATAGCATAGTGAGTGCTCAATAACTGTTGGCCCCAGACTCCCCACATGACCCCCCTACCAACATACACATAAGACATCCTTTTTTTTTTTTTTAACATCAAGGCTCTCACTTCCTTGAAAGAAGCTAAGCCTCAGGGGAAATATGTGATAAGCTCATAGCATAGTGAGTGCTCAATAACTATTGGCCCCAGACTCCCCACATGATCCCCCCACCAACATACACATAAGACATCCTTTTTTTTTTTTTTAACATCAAGGCTCTCACTTCCTTGAAAGAAGCTAAGCCTCAGGGGAAATATGTGTCTCAAGTGTTCTCTCTTCCCTCTGAAGCTGAGCAGGAAGATGGAGGTTAGACTGCAGGAAGAACTTTCTTTTAGAGGCAAGGATGTCCAAGTGGGTTTTAGAAAATCAACTTCTCAGATTCCCTTCTCTGCCCTTTGTAGCTGTTGGTGGATAATTAAAGAGCATTTGGGGGAGGGGGCCAGAGGGTGTCTCTTTCTTCCTGGTCTCCTTGAGCATTCCAGAGTGACTTGGCAGGAAGGGGCCAGGGCTGGAGGCCTAATGGGGCTGTAACCTCCCTGTCCTCTCACTACTTTGGGGGAGGTGAAGACATAGGATCACAAGTGGGCAGGGGGGAGTTGGGGACTCCTTGTGGTTGCCCAGATCGGGCTGGGCCCTGCCACAGTGACCCAGGAATCCTGCCTGCAGCTCAGACCCCATCTCCTCGTCTCCAACTCCCTCTCTGGTCACGCATGCCAAAACCCCAAGAGTCTGCTGGGGCTGTTTGAGTTTTAACAGGGCACCAGCCTGGCTTGGTGAAGGGAACACAGGTTCAAGAACCAGACAGCTCTAGGTTCAGTTTTACCACCCATTAGTTGAGTGAACTTGGGTGAGTCACATTAACATCAATGTGCCTCCGTTTCTTCCTTGGTAAAGCAGGGATCGTAGAACCCTTCTCTGAAAGATGCTGGGACATTTAACTGTGCCTGTGTGCACAGCATGTAGCATGGTGCCCAGCTCAGAGCGGGTGCTCCATCAAAGTGCTCCCTCCACAGCTGCTAGTGTCCTGAAGTCCCTGGCTCAGTGTTGTCTTTCTCCTTTGCTCTTGCTTCTGCTCCACAGTCCCCATCCCCTCCAAAGCCAGCAGCCTCTCGGCCCTCTCACTGGCCAGAGACAGCCTGGTTGGCGGCATCACGAACCCCAGTGAGGTCTTCTGCTCCGTGCCAGGCCGGCTGTCGCTGCTCAGCTCGACATCCAAGTACAAGGTGACAGTGGGGGAGGTCCAGCGGCGACTCTCGCCTCCCGAGTGCCTCAACGCCTCACTCCTGGGTGGTGTCCTTCGCAGGTAGGAAGGCCAACCCACAGCTCCCTGCACAGTGCTTGGGCCAAAATCCGTGGCCATCTCAGACCTCCTCAGGGGATCAAGGAGGGTCCAGCCTTACCCCAAGCCACAGGGCCACCTATGCCTCAGTCTCCCGGAGGGGAGGTCCAGGTCCCCAGCAGCAACTACAGGTCTGAGGCCCTGAGGGTGGGGTGTGGAGGAAGAAGCCTGGGCAGAGAGGAGGGTTGGAGGACCCACCCGTCTTGGGCAGATGGACAAGGCTGGGTCTGGAAAGAAGAGTGCCCTCCTCTCCCCCTCCTCCAGAAAAGGGACCCCCCAGGACCCAAAGCCCATCCCCTGTGGAGCAAAGGCCTCTTTGGTGTGTGCGTTTTGGGGTCCATAGTTATCTTCTAGTTGTGTGTCTGTCTCCCTTTGTGCATATCTTTGTGCCTACATAGGGCTGAGTCTTGGTGTGCCTAAGAACGGTGTGTGCATGCATGAGTGCATGTTTGTGTGTGTGTGGTATAGGGGGTGGCTAGGAAGATATGTTCCATGAATGCGAGTTTCCTGTGTTACTTTCAGTGGGATGTGTTGGATGGAGTGTGTCCTACCCTGTGTGTATGTGATCACATGTACATCTGAAGCTAGACTTGTGCATGTACCTCCGTGTAGGGGCTGCATTTGTGCAGGTATGGGAGTATCTCCTTATTCCTGGTCTCTTCGAGCAGCCCAGAGGGGCTTGTGTGAATGTGTGAGTGTCTGTACATGTCCCTGAGATCCTGACTTCGTGTGAACATTTGTCTCTGTGCCCCTATGTGTGCCTGGTGTCTGAGTCTCTCTCTGTGTGTCTGTCTCTATTGGGGTGTGTTTATTCTTGGCCCTCAGTGTGCGCTTATCTGTGTATGTATCTATATGTATCTGTGCGTGTCTGCTTGTCCCAGTGTATCTGTATAAAGGTCTATGTGTCCCTGGGTAGCTGTGTATGGCCTGGCTGGCATGTGAAGGTGGGAAAAGGCCTATCTTGCCACACCCTGGGCTATCCTGCTATTGAGAGGGTTAGGGAGAAATGAGGGGCTCCTGGAGCTAGGCCCCCTACCCACCATCTTGGCTACAAAGCCAGTGAAGTTAGAAAGAGGTTGGGGCCAGACTGAAAGAGGCCCCCGACTGTCCCCAGGGCCAGACCCAAGCCTCAGCAGGGGTTGGTGGAAGCAGCAAGGTCACTTAGCCTGCATCCTTCTCTCTTGTCTTCATAGTGTGTGTCTGTCTCTCTTTGTGCACGTGAAGGGCCAAGTCCAAGAATGGAGGCCGCTGCCTGCGGGAACGGCTGGAGAAGATTGGACTCAACTTGCCAGCTGGCCGACGCAAGGCCGCCAACGTGACGCTGCTCACTTCACTGGTGGAGGGTGAGTGAGGTCTGAGGGTGGGCGCTGAGGCACAAGGGGTCCTGTGTCATCCAGTATGAATGTATGTGACTGTCTCCAATGCAGGAAGGTGTGTTTAGTCACATGTTTGTTCTCTGTCATGTATGAGGAAGTGCTGTGTGTGATATGTATGTACAGCCTTTGTGTGTGTGTGTGTGTGTGTGTGTGTGTGTGTATGCACGTGCCCATGCAATCAATAGAGAGCATGTGTGTGTATGGTGGGGAGAAGTGGCCAGTGATTGGATGAGGGAAAGGGATAAGGGGGTTAGAGTACTTTCCCTGAAGGTTGGTGACTCTGGGTGTGATTATATAGAGCTCAAGCTTTGGGATACAGGGTGGGCTCAGCTCCCATCCCTGAACTCAGAGCCCATCCCTGGTGGCCCCAAAGGATGGCAATGGGATTGCTGGAGTGGGAAATCAGAGGAAGGTATCTATGGAAGCAAGATGGGGTAGGATGGGCCCTGGCCGGGGGGTCAAGGTTCAAGGTGGTGCTCCAGTCTCAAAGGTACACCTGGCTGTAGTGAGAGCTCACCTCTTTGCCTCTTCTCCTCCCAGGAGAGGCCATACACCTGGCCCGAGACTTCGGCTACATCTGTGAGACCGAGTTCCCAGCCAAGGCAGCTGCCGAGTACCTGTGCCGACAGCATGCTGACCCTGGGGAACTGCACAGCCGCAAGAACATGCTGCTGGCCGCCAAGTGAGTGAGGGTGCAACGTGGACACTTTTGGACACTATGCGCAGGCTGTCGTGGGTGCCATGAACAGGCACATGTAGGTGCAATGCACAGACCCCACGCATGGGCACAAGTGGCACCACACACAGCACACCTACACTCAATGCTGTGCATGCTACATTGACATACATGAATATATCTGGGTTCTGTGAATCAGCAAAAATGGTATCATAGACAGGCTTACATAGTCTGTGCCACGCTCCCATACACGGCCCCATGACACCACCAGCCCTAGTCCCATCATGGCTCTGAGGTTCCATGGTCTTGCTCCCTCTGCTTGAGCCTTACCCATCAGGCCTTCTGTTCCAGTGATTTCCATGAGGGCACCCATGCCCACCTAGGCCCCAGGTTGATCACCCCTTGTCCTTACTTCACATTTAACCTCTCTGCAACTCTCGTTGTTGCCTCCCTCACCACCCTTCACATGCTGCCACCTCAACTCTAGTCTTCTAATCTCTTTCCTGGATCTTCACTCCAGCACCCCACTATTCCTTCAGATTCCCTGCACATGCACTGCCCCCCTTCCCAAGAACCTTCAATAGCTCCCACTGCTACTGCACTGATTTTCAAACTAGGTTCTGTGGGGATGCTTCGGGGTCTGTTTAATGAACTGCTATTCCATTAAGGTTTAGTTTTTAGAAAGAATCCCAGTGCAAGAAGAGACAGAGTGAGACATAGAGAGGAAAGGAATAAAAAAATTTGAAAACCACCAATCCATTGGGTAAAGTTCAGACTCCTTTGAGGACCCCACAATCCAACCCACACAAACCCTACCCACTCCAATTGATCTCTCCTGCCCTCCCATCCTTGGGCTTGCTCTCCTGCTTAGAACACCAGCCAGTACCCCCACCTAATGCAGTCTTTCAAATGGCAACTCTCCCCTCCCCTCTTTGAGGCTTCCTCAAGTCCCCTAGGCAGAAATGGAATCACAGACTCAAGGGACTTCCATGACTCATGAGACCTTTGAGACTGCTCATATTGTAGCTGAAGAAACACATCTAGGGCAGGGCTCACCTCACCCATTAACCAGCCAACTCATTAAGCACTTCCAGGTCCCACTCATGTCTAAGATGCTGACTGGGTTCCATGGTGACACAAAGGTGAGACAGGGGTGATTCTTCTGCCTGAGCCACACACAAGATGCACAAAGAAACAAATAATGGCTGCAAACTAGAGCTGGATTCAAATCCCAGCTTAGCCACTTGGGCAGGTCATCTAACCTAGTGGTCACCAACCGGTGGCCCGCCCACCAGTGGTCTGTGGGGTCCGAAAGGTTGGCGACCGCTGATCTAACCCATTTGAAACCAGTTTCCTCATCATACGATGGGATAATAATAAGAGTATGGATTTGTTGTGAGGACTAAGTGAGATGATACACTTGGCACAGCATCTATGGTAGGCCTCAATTGATGTTCACTATGAGCTATTATTTCAATTATTCAAGGCAGATTCTAGATTATTCCCTAATAATTTCAAAGCTCTGTGAGACACTGGTATTTGGAGTGGGGGTAGGATTGGGAGAGTGGATCAAGGAAAGTTTCCTGGATAAGGTGGTAGAGATAGACTTTGAATATGGGCAGGATGTCCACAAGAAGAAGGATCCTAGGGCCGTGGTCGGCAAACTGCGGCTCGCGAGCCACATGCGGCTCTTTGGCCCCTTGAGTGTGGCTCTTCCTAAGCCTTAGGAGTACCCTCATTACGTTAATCACAATGTACCTACCTCTATAGTTTCAGTTTAAAAAATTTGGCTCTCCAAAGAAATTTCAATCGTTGTGCTGTTGATATTTGGCTCTGTTGACTAATGAGTTTGCCGACCACTGTCCTAGGGTATTGGCATGTGCTGTTCACTAGCTGTGAGACAAATCAGTTAATGTCTCTGAACCTTAGTTTCCTTTTCTGTAAAATGGGTATGATCATCATTTGCAGACTATTGGCAGGGTCAACAATCACAAATATAATAGAAATAAAGTACCCAGAACATGGTAGGTCCTTCTCTGGGCTCAGACCTCTGACCTCTAACCTCTGACCCTTTTCCCCTCACCAGGCAGATCTGTAAGGAGTTTGCAGACCTGATGGCTCAGGACCGCTCGCCACTGGGCAACAGCCGCCCTGCTCTCATCCTGGAGCCGGGAGTGCAGAGTTGCCTGACACACTTTAGCCTCATCACCCATGGTTTCGGTGGGCCAGCCATCTGTGCTGCCCTCACCGCCTTCCAGAACTACTTGCTGGAGTCACTCAAGGGGCTGGACAAGATGTTTCTAAGCAGTGCGGGCAGTGGGCATGGTGACACTAAAGTTTCAGAGAAGGATGCCAAGCATCGGAAATAACCGCTTCCCAGGCCCCATCCCTAAGGGGCTCCCAAGGCCTGAAATAAGGTCTTAGCTCCTGGGGGTGGGCCTGAAAGGATTAAAAGGAAGGGTTAGAGTAAGGCCAGAAAGAGAGCATTCATCCAGAGACCCCCGAGTTAGGGACCTGGGCTGGAAAAGGTGGGGATGGCCTCTCTGTGGTGGTTTGATAAGGGCCCTGTTGTTTGCAATTTTCTGACCCTGGATTGCTAAGTGCTTGAACAGGAAATTGGCATGGTTCTTGGGGCTGAGCCCTCCCATTAGGGTGCTTGGGCAGTGGTGGGTACTCTTAGGGTCCAAGGCCTTGCTGTTTTTACTGATGGCAGGAGGAAAACTGTTGACAAACCAGAGGTGCTACTGAGGAGTTGGCACCCTTCATCCCAGAATCTTGATCCTCAAAAAAGGGGTGCTGGCAGGAAAACTCCAATGGGTTCTTTGGACCTCTCCCACTCTTGGAAAGAAGTGGGCAAGAACAAAGAAGACAAAGCACAAACTGTAGAACTTGAATCCAGGCTGCACTTCACAGCCCTGTCATTGTCTGCCCTATTTATTTGTGTGTTGAAATTAAATTTGAAAGTTTTAAAATGTCCAGCGCAACTGATTTATCCCAAGTTGAAGATTCGTTTCACTATTTTCTGCTCATGCTCCGAGATGTCCAGCTAGACCAGGATGGAGAGGGTGTTTCGGTTCAAAGGAGTGTTGGGGGACAGGGAGCCAGAGGGAAGACAGACGTGTTAGGGACCCTGAGGTTGTCGCTGGGATTTTGTATTTGCTTGTTTCCTTTGACTCTGCGGGTCGATGCACCTCCCCAACCCTCAGAATGCTTTCTCATTCTCTTAATAAAACCTTTCCATTGAATGTGAAGCCCCTTTCTCCCCCTTCAGCCCAGGTCTGGACTTGCCTCCCAAGGGAGAGTCCTAGGAGGGGCCTGTGTGAGATGGGGTGCAGATGGTGGGTCTATTTGGCTTGTCAGTGTGGCTTTTAGTTCTGTGTGTGAAGTGACTCCTGGGTCTGTATGTACATTATTGTGACTTGGTGGGCCTGTGCGAATGTGTCAGTCATGGGTGGTGGGTCTGTATGTGTGTCTGTGTGAATGCTGGTGACTGTGTGTGTGTGTGTGTGTGTGTGTGTGTGTGTGATTTAAGCCAATACTAACCCAGCTCTCTCATCTCCTTGAGGATTTCACTCTTTAGGCATCATTTCTTTCCTGCATCATCAGTCCCTCCCTATAACTAGTTTACTATATCATTCCCCAAAGCACCCATGTTCTAAGACCTCTGACCTTACAAAACATTAATCCTTTCCCCATATATTTCCCTGGCAGTAAAGTTTTTGAAAGTTTGTTATACCCCTAACCCCACTTCACTCTTCAACCCACTTCAAACGGTGGTACTAAAGGTTGAACTAGCTATGGTCATACGAATCATCTTTTCCCTCATTCATACAATAATTAACTTTCTTCTTATGGTATAAAGCATTTATCATTGGTGTATTAAAGTGTATGACATTTAAATCTGATGGTAACACTGTTAACACACATGTTCTGATCTGCAGGTAGTATCGTAGAGATGATATTTCACTTCATAAATGTTAGAAATGCAAAATCGCAGGCCACACCCCAAACATGCGAAGCTATAGGGGTAGGACCCAGAAAGCTATGTTTCAATTAAGCCCACCAGAGGACTGGGATGTGTGCTGTTTGAGGATCACTGCCTCAAAGAAACTTTAATCCAGGGGTTCTCTGTCAGGACTGAGGATAAGAATTATTTGGGAAGCTTTAAGTATTCCTAGCCCCAAACATACTTAGTTGAAACCTGGGAGTGAGTGCAGCCTTATTTTTAAAGGAGGGTGTGTGTGTGTGTACATGTGCACATTTTACACTGGAACAGCATATCTGAAGTTTCCTCTGGGAGGGGAAGCAGGTGATCGAATTTTAGGGACAAGAGAAACATTTTTTACTATGTGTCTTTATACTCTGTGCATTTTTTTACTAAGTGCACATAATACCTATTTATATTAATTATTTTAAATTTTTTTTAGCTTAGGGGGAAGAATCACTGCTTTAGAAGGAATGAGACATTAGCCAGCATGATATACGAATGAGCTAGATGGGAAAGAAGTCAGGCAGTGAAATAGAATCTGGGGGTGTTGGGCTGCTAAGGGGCAATCAGAGCATGAACAGAGGGAAAGTAACAGGAGGAAAGACAGTCTCGGCCAAAAGTCCAAGCAGATAATCCTTTCTCCATTTCCTTCCTGAGTAATGTCAGGTAAACTGAGATTCAAACCAGAGAGCTCAATTTATCCATAGTCAGCTTTATTCTGAATTAACCATATATCAAGAGTGCACGTCAGGAGAGTAGAAAAAAATAAACGAGCTCGTCAAAAAAAGTTCCCTGGCAAGTGGGGGAGAGGGCATTTTGTTAGGAGCTGCGTTTAGAGAAGGAAATGGTGGCCAGGTCATGGATGCCATTTTTGTCAATGATTCGAACACTGAAGGCTGGCAGGTTCAGGATGAAGCGCTTCTGGAGCTGCAGAGACACAAAGGAAATCAGTCAACAAACATTACTGAGCACCACTGATAGGCCAGGCTCTGACTGAGGCACTGGGCACACAAGCTTTTGTGAAGCTTATATTCCGCTGGGACTAGGACACTGAAGAAAGCCCAAACTGCAGCTGAAAGCTGACTGGAAGGTGGTGAGCAAGAACTGGGAGCTGCAGCTGGGAGCCTGTCTCGGGCCAGTCCGCTGATGAAAGAATGAGACAGTCTGATGATCTGTTCCCCACAGTCTTCTACCAATCAGCCTGGTAAACACACACTTCTCTTTTAAAACGTTCCAAGGTGATAAGCCAACAGAGGAGTGATCGCCCTAGCAATAAGCTTTGGACCAAAGCAATGTACCCCTAGGTCCTAACAGCTTTCTCCAGTCACCTACCCATATTCTCAGGACCTGGTGTGTGTGAGTGTGTAGCAGGAGGGGTGGTGGGAAGGATGTTGGCAGAACTGCTCTTGGGACAAACTCTGCTTCTGTCTCCTCTAATCCAAGCTGACCTGTCATTAAAGTAACATTTCTGCATCTCTTAAGACTCTCTGCTTTAGAGACTGTTCCAAGGAGCTGCATGGTCTTGTGTGCATGGAAGCAGACAGCCCACTAACCTGGCTGGAAGTTACTGAGGGACAAGCTGGAGGAAATTTTTGCTCCTGTGGCTACCTGTCCTGGACACCTCACTTAATAGTCTCCAGAGAAAAGGCACGAAGTTCTCTACCTATTTCCTGGGGAGCCTATCCCAGAAATGTCCCCCTCCCCAGGCCTACAACCCCTCCCTGGATGCTTCCCATCTCCTTCACTACTGAGAACTGGGCAGCAACAACCAGTTCACTTCCAGATCCTCTCTTTCTGATGACTCTTATTATCCAGAAACACGACTCAAGATTAAGAAAAGGTAACAATAAGGAAATGTGGGTTTCTAATATGATGACGTTTAGGATTTATGAGGAATAAAGTCTCAAAGCATTTAATATTCAGTGGCTTCTTCCTGGCAGCTCCTTGAACACTTGGGGTTGGCAGGCTAGGCTAATATGACCTCTCAGCTGAATGGTTAAGAAAAACACATGAGTTTATTCTCAGCATCGGCTTTGGAAAGGGGATTCACAAACAAGAGGAAGAAGGGGGTACTGTGGGCTGAAAAGGACAGGCTTGTGTAAGAGGCAAACTGACATTATGTTCAAAGCATCCCCCCCACCCACCTGCTCTCATCCTCCCACTCTCACTAGACTATGAATTCAAGTTAATCCTTAGGCCACAAGAACAGTAAAAGAATGAAAAAGCCTCAGGGAGCTGCTTTCTTTTCTTTCTCATCCTCCATTCACACCCCAAAGCCTCTGACTCTTAGTAGTACTAGACTGGGTGGGGTCTGTGGCCTCATAAAGTAAAGGCTACTCTCCCCTTCTGCCCAAAGCTTCCTAGTTGCTTTCTATGGCCTTTGGAATTCTCAGGAGAGGCTTCCTCTCCAGGACTCATGCACCGTTAAGGGGAACAAACACTATAGCAACTCCAGATGGAACAAGAATAAAGCAGGTATGCCGAAACCGGTTTGGCTCAGTGGATAGAGCGTCAGCCTGCGGACTGAAAAGTCCCAGGTTCGATTCCGGTCAAGGGCATGTACCTGGGTTGTGGGCACATCCCCAGTGGGAGATGTGCAGGAGGCAGCTGATCGATGTTTCTCTCTCATCGATGTTTCTAACTCTCTATCTCTCTCCCTTCCTCTCTGTAAAAAATCAATAAAATATATTAAAAAAAAAAAAAGAATAAAGCAGGTATAAAGGGCAGCAGTTGTTCCAGTATGGCCCCGTTACCACCTGCAGCAAAATCACCTGGGCCTGCTAGTTAAACTATTCTCAGGCTCTACACCAGGACAAACGTGTCAGAAGGGGGCTGGAAGGCTGAATCTATTTGATTTTTAAAAACAAGTTCCTCAGATGATTATTACAATGCTAAAATTTGCCGAAACCGGTTTGGCTCAGTGGATAGAGCGTCGGCCTGCGGACTGAAGGGTCCCAGG